GTCTGTCCCTCTGCCCAGAGCCACAGTGGCCATGGGGGCGACTGTCCCCACACGGCTCACCCTACTGAAAGCACAAGGTGCTGGGGCCCATCTGGGCAGAGGCCAGGCGGGAGAAGCCTGCGAGTCGAGAGAACCCCACATTCTAGGAGAGCTCCTTCCTGTTCTAGGAAGGTCCTGGACCCTTCACCCAGCCAGGGTGCCTACCCAATGGGTGTCACACGTGTCCCTCAAATGAAGAGGGGTCTTCACTGCAGCAGTTTTTGGAAACAACCCATTTGCTAGGCCAATCCTGAAGAACACACAGTGCAAACATCTGAGACCCAGGCACGAGGACATGTAGCCATTTCCAGAAAGGTCAGAGCAGCCGAGACAGTGAAAAATTGTCCTATCTGACACAAATGTCAGCCACAACCCATTTTCAAAAACTCTTTATTCAGAACTAGAGGTTAACATTTGTCTTCACAAATTTGTACAAGCCCTCCAAAAAAACCTAAGAATGATTGATTCTGTTAATATAGATGGGTACTGACAGTTATTACATATTATAAAAATAAACACATCTTGCTAGCGTATTTTCTTGCCTGACATTTTCACGCTACAGGGCAGGATGAACACGGTGGTGAAGGAACCGCCTAGCACAGGCACAGTGATGGGGCAGGCCAGACGCAAACAGCACCTGCCCGGCGGCTGGCCAGGGACACAGGACAGGCAGGAGCCGGCTGCCCCTCTGCAGAGACCAAGCATCACTCTTAAACACCTGACCAAGACAGAAGGTCCTCAAAAGGCAGAGGAGCAGCTCATCAAGTGACAAGTGTCCAGTGAACATCATACCAAGAGACCACTGAAATGTGGTTCTCACTTCGTGAAAATCTTACGCAAGTGCACAGAACATAGTGAGGAATGTACCTGCCAGGGACACGAGGGAGCCCCCGGTCCACATGCTGCCTAACGACAAGCTGTTTTTTTCCGACTACTAACTGGGCGTCCTGATCTTTGTACCCACTTTGGACATAGGAAAATCTAAATGTTGAGACCAGAGAAAACCAGGACTATAAGAACTTTCTGCAGATAGAACTCTGCTCCAGGTCCAACTGCTCCAGACAGGACACAACCCTTGACAACCCTCGTCATACCCTTGGAACTCAGAGGCAACCAGGACAAGGACTATTGGTGCTTCTGACATCTTGAAGCTTATTAGAATCTTTAACTATGTCATTTCACACTGTTCCTCATGGAATCGTAAGACTTGTGAAACTTGTGAATCTCATTTCTGTTGGGAAGAAATGTTTCCCAAAGAGTGCTGGCCTTGCGAAAGAGCTTCCTGCAGGGGACTGCCTGGAGGGCATGTCTCTCATCCTGTTTTGATTTCCTGACCTTGTGCTGGGACAAGGACCCAGAAGGCAGATGGTATGTCCCCTGTGTTTGAGGTCCCAGGCCAGGCCTGCTGAGGCTCCCTGCAGCCAGCAGGGCTGCACGTGGCACTCCTCCAAGAGCTGGGCCTTGCTGGGTATGACATTCATTTCCCCATGCCTGCCTGTCTGGCAGAGCTGTTGTTCTGATCCTTCGAGAGGCACAAGCGTCGTGAGCTTTGGGGACAGTCTGAAAGGATAATAGAGGCCAAGGAAACCAGCAGGAGCTGCCCCTCAAGGGCCCTGCCTGGTTTCCTGTGTCTACGGCGAGGGCTGTGAGCACCCATAGACGCCCTCCTTCTGAGAGCACCTGTGCTTACACAGCCGCGTGGCCCACACAGGCACGTCCTTCGGCTCTGCTGCACTGCTTCGTCTACACTCCTCACGGAGACACATGCTTTGGAGCAGGTGGTTCTTGTGGCAGCCAGGGGTGGCAAAATGCTGTGGTGCCCTCAGGGACCGGGGCCTGCTTCTCTGCACCTTCTCATGACCCGAGCCAAGCCTAGGTGGGAGGGCTGCAGGTGCTGGTGGCAATCCCTTCATCCTTGATACCACCCCACCCCCAGCTGCACTGGCCGGTGACTCAGACACAACACCCGTCCTCGTTAAACCTGGTCAGCACCACTGAGCCCTGTAACATGAATTTATATTTTACATAAAACACTCTGAGGACGACTGTCTGCCCACCGTTAAATCTCCAATGGCTTGCAATAAACCTGCCCGAATCAGTGAACATAGAACTGAATTGTAACTTCAAATCAAAATATTCAGTTCTGTTGGGAAAAAAGTTTGCTATACCTTTCATTCCCCAAGGGCATTCAAAGTTACAAGATGTCTTTGAAAAGCACCGAGGCCTCTTGGCCAGAGCATGGCCACAAGAAGGCCACCACTTTCCACATGGCCAACGCCTCATGAGTGGGCAGTTGTCATCTTTTAAAACATATCTTCAGGGCGGGCCTGTGGCTCACCCGGGAGAGTGTGGTGCTAACACCAAGGCCACGGGTTCGGATCCCATATAGAGATGGCCGGTTCACTCACTGGGTGAGCGTGGTGCTGACAACACCAAGTCAAGGTTAAAGATCCCCTTACCGGTCATCTTTTTTTTTTTTTTTTGTCTTTTGTCTTTTGTCTTTTTCCGTGTCCGGCAACGGATCGCAACCCTCAGTGTTGCCCCCGTACCGGACCGGGGACCGGCAACGGGATCACAACCCTCGGTGTTGCTCCCGCGCCTCGCTCAGCCAGTGAGCGGGAACCGGTCTGTATGTGGGATCCGAACCCTCGGGCGGGAGCGCCGCTGCGCTTCCCAAGCGGCGCACCTATCCAGTGCGCCACCGGGCCGGCCCGTCCCTTACCGGTCATCTTTAAAAAATATATATATATATATCTTCTACTGAAAAACTCTTTATTAGAGACATTTGACATTTGGTAGATATCAACAGTGACAAAGTTTAGGTGACAGCTTTCTTATGTGTTAGACTTTGCAAAAACAGAAGTAACAAAAGATTGTAATCAAAAATTAAAATAACCTTGAAAACATGGCTGTGTGGCTTCCCTCAGTGCCCCTCCCCTTTGACTTAGGCACCTGCGCACAGGAACCAGCCAGAATGGGTCGTCTGCATAACTGATGCCCCCAAATTACCAAGAGCCTGGCCCCAGGAGAGGGCTTGGAAATGCAAACCGTTGGCAAATTATTTTAAACAGTAAGAAAGGGAATGACTGGAAAGTTGTTAAACTTCCCTAAACACAGCTGTGTTAAATGTGTCTTGGAGTCCTGCCCTCTGGCACTTTCAGCCTTCCGTCCTCCCTGGAGAATGAGCTGCTCACAGCCTGTCTGGGAGAGTAAGTGGCCTCCAGCAGAGGCACATGACCTGCCCTGTTTGTTGAAAATTTCAATCTGATCTTTGAATGCTGTCAAAATCATAAATCCTCAGATGCATCTGAAAGTTGCCAAGTGGCTCTGCTCAGGCCTTTCCTGAGCAGATGGCACAGAGATTGCAGGCCACTGAGGAAGACTCCAGGATTCAACTGAAATACCATCCCTTCAAGTTTCCAAAGCTACAAAATCAAGCTTTCAAAGCAAGTGTTCACTCTTAAAAGTGTTTTAATTACAAATGTAATTTTGAAGCCTAGAGACAGAACAGTGACTCCCTCTCATTCAGAAGTGCCTGATTTTGGGCTGGCCCGGTGGCACACTGGAGAGTGAGCCACTTGGGAGCGTGGCAGCGCTCCCGCCGAGGGTTCGGATCCCATGTGGAGACCGGTTCCCGCTCACTGGCTGAGTGCGGTGCGGACGTGACACTGAGGGTTGCGATCCCATTGCCGGTCCCCGGTACGGGCGCGACACTGAGGGTTGTGATCCCGTTACCGGTCCGTAAAAAAGACAAAAAGGGGGAAAAAAAAAAAAAGAAGAAGTGCCTGATTTGGTAACCCATATTCCATGGCATTGTGTGTGTGTGTGGCGTGTGCACACACGTGTGCATGTGTGCGTGCACGCACATGCATGTGCGTGTTATCTGCCTGGGTGTGTGTGCATGCATGTGCACGACATGCGTGTATGTATGTGCATGCATGTGCCTGTGTGTTGTGTGCGTGTGTACATGCATTGCATGTGACGTGTATGTGTGTGTGTGCACACAGCAGATTGTCAATTCAAAGAGTTCTACCATGATCTATGGTGTCAACATCTCTAGGTAAAGAAAATTAGTAACTTGATAAAGATGGATGCTGAGATGGACATGCCTATTTTGGTTAAATAACTTTAATGACACCACTGTACGTAGATTCTGCATCTGGCCCTCCCACAGTGCACGACCAGGTGTGACCATTCATATTCTCAACACGCATACTGGGAAAAACAAAAACACGGAGTGCTATGGACACAGGCAAAGTGCAGTAAGAAACAACCCCCTCCGAGACATAGGCATGGCCCCAGGACTGTGGAACCTGGTGGCCAGAGGCCGGCCCTGGAGGGTGGGAGCAGCCTTGGGGAGTTTCTGTCCAACTCTCGGTCTGCCCACTCTGGGTCTTCGCAGTAATGCTTCATTTTGGACAGTATACAGTTGGTGATTAATGCATATGTTGCTCTTCAGCAAAATACCATTCAAGTAGTTTTAATTTAAATATTCTAAAAGTAACCTTTACATTATTGAAGATTGGTAAAAAAACTCAGAGTCTGACAACTTTTCATTCCATTTAATCTGGTGCTTTGGAAATCTTCCTTTTCGTGTCACCATGATTTAGAAAGCAATTCTCTGCAGGGTGGTTTTCAAGATTCTCTTTTCCCCCTTATTGGCTCAAGTTTAAAATACTTGCAGAAATCCTTTGCCACTGCACTGTATGGAGAACGTGGGCCCTTCCTGTTGCTTGCCTTAGTTACAGATTCTATAATTAAGGGAGTGCTGTAAGCTAAACAAGCCCCAGCGGTTCTCTGTCACATGAACGGGGCTGTGAAGAACTTCCTTCTTAACCTTAATGAACATGATGATCCCAAGTGAAGCTTCATGAGGAGACCACACAGTAGTAAAATGTTTGGCAATCAACAGTTAATTAGAATTAAATCCTTGATCGGGGTGATGCTATCTCCATGAACACAGTCGCTAGAAAAGCTGGTTTTTGCCGTGACGAAGCTCAGAGTGGCCGTTCCAGGGAGTCCAGCCTTACACCTCAGGGTCCACGGACCCTCCAGCACCTCAGTAGATATCTGGGCAGTCTGAGAAATTCCGCTCAAAGTAATCTCCTGCATATAACCAGTCGGAAGTCCCAGTGTAGGGATTATTGCCTGGGTAAAACCACCTGCAGGATACAAAGGAGGTGGTAAGAAGATGCTCAGCTTGACAGGAAAGTAGAGCCATTGATTTTTCTTGGTTAAGGACTATTCCGCCCAGTTAAGCATTATACAGCAATGTGTATGCAGCCCAGGGTAACACTTCAACAGAGAATTACTGATCACATTTCCACGTGAGTGGTTAAAAGACATCCAGCCATGTCAGATCAGTTTCATTTTCCAACAAAACCTCAAGGATTTAACTCAACACAAAACATCAAGCTGGGCATTATCAGAGATTGGTTACTGTATCTAAATAACGCTTGTACTTTTAAAGGTAAGAACAGTTACAATGTTCACATTTCTTTCTTTCAAAGCAGACCACGTATACATTTTCTTTTTTAACGGGACAAGGGATGAGGAGGTGGCCATGGCCTCTGGCACATCTCAGGCTCAGTCCTGGCCATAAGCCAGCACAGCCACTGCCCGGCTCCCATGCTCTCAGGGACCACCCAGAGCACCAGTGCCAGCTGCGGCTTCACTGGCTTCACTGTGTACGACTGTGTTAGGACACGAAATCAACTAAGAACATCACAATTTGCCATAAGTGTGCTGTGGGGGAGCTCACAGAGTAGGAGTAACTGTCCTCTGGGAACAAAATACCATTTTCACAAATTATTTTAAAATATTTCTCAGTGCTTAAAAAACCAAATGAAGGAAGGTTAACTATTTTCAGACAGTTTTTCTCTGGAACAAAGGCAAATTCCACGTCAAACTATTAAAAGCACAAATTAAATTAAATTGGAGCCCAGGCATCAAGAATTGGCTTCAAAAATTCTGGCCACAAATAAGTCATTACAGAGGCTGTTATTGGACCTTGAAAACAAGTACTATAAATTACGTAGCCTGATAGGTTAAAACAGCTCAAAAACATACAGATTTTTGTAAAAGACCAAAGTTTTTTACTTATATATACTTTTAAATTATGCTTAATTATTATAGTACTTTATTGATTGAATCCTTACTAAATGGATTGTTTTTATATTGATAGTTAAAGAACAAACAAAATACAGTTTAAGACATTAAAGTAAGAAAATAGAACTAAAGTTCTTAGCAGCTGATGTGGTCTCATACCTCTGCAAGGTTTATTTGATCTGAGGACAAGTGTGTGCAGACACCCCTCCGTGTCCCCCACACCTATACAGGTGGAGACGCCACAACAAAACTTTCACTGATCAAGGGTGTAGCTAGACGGCGGAACTTGGCTCAGCCTGGCACTCCACATGTGTTACTGCCCCACAGGGCTGGATTACAGCCCACAGGGCACCTCACCAATACCCTCTACCAGCTGCATTTTCCTTACAAGAGCAGTGGGTTCGAGCTACATTTTCTCCTTAAATTCATCATATTCAAGAAAAGTGCTTTGGATCAAAGACATCAGGAAGCATTCAGTCAGGCCAGGGTCTGAGGAGACCTGGCTTCTGTGCACAGGCCATTCCAACTGGGTGGTCTCTCCTCACTGCCCCGGGTGTGTGGGGACCCTCCTCCCTGCTCCAGGTGTGTGGGGACCCTCCTCACTGCCCTGGGTGTGTGGGGGGCCCATCTCCCTGCTGTTCCGGCCAGCTGCTGCGGAGCCTCACCTGGTCTGCCACTCTGCCTCCTCTTTGGCTCGCTCCCTGCGGGCTTCTCTCTGCTTCTCCTCCAGCCGCTCCTTCTCCTGGCTGGCCAGGTCTAGGGTCCAAGCACATAAGCCTTGGGATGAGGGGTCAGGATACCAGCGAAGGTTCCAGTTTATGTCAGAGACAGTGCATACACACACACCCCCCACACCCCTAGACCTCCAGAACATATGTCCCACCCTGGTGGGAAGGCCATGGATGGTGAATTTGGTAACCAGGAGACCAAATGCAATTCCAAGTGCCGAGGCCCAGCCCCACACTGCCTGGCCCACGAGCCACAGGGGCCCTGTGTTCTAGAACAGCGTTCCTCAAAGTGTGGCCTGTGGGTACAGGTGTCTGAAGCTGGGGCAGCAACTTAACACCACACGACTCCCAAGTGGGCGCAGGCGCAGACCAGGGCCAGTGTGCAGATCCAGAACCCAGCTCTTTCACCCAAAGATGGGTTCCATTTAACCTTCACCTTCCAGGATCAATGCTGTGTGGCTTCTGATGAAGGACGCAAGATAACTGTGGAATGCAGAGCATCGTGGCAGCATTTGGGTAAGAATGGGAAGTGGACATGCTGAGCTGTGGACAGGGCTCCAGCACCACCGTCCAACCTAGCCGTGCTCCTCTGAGGTGGTTTCTCTACTAAAATGACATTCAAACAACCCAGGGACACTTTGCCCACGTATCCCCAGCAAGGGGCTCTGCTGTTGATGCCGTCTACTTGAGGAAGTGACTGAGCGAGAGGCGAGCTCATTTATCACATGGAAAAGGGAACACTGATCTACATAGAGCTCATCCAGGCTATGCACAAGGGTCAGCCATGAGGCCTTGGCCCGGGCACAGCTGCATGATGTGTCACCAGCACAGCGATGAGTCTCTGCATCAATGGCCTACATGGACTCATGATGAACACGTAGTTTCCAAGATGTGATCTTAATGTCTGTTGAATTTAATAGTAAAAAACCAGAGACTTGTATTTTGTATATATTCTCTTTCATTTCATTCTCTGGTGATTTAATTTTATTGTATTTACCAAAGGATGGGTCTGTGACAAGCTAGACATTTTAAAAGTCTTTTGCCACAGACAATTTAAGAAACTCTGTTCCAGGAGGTCTGGGTGTGTGTGTGTTTGGTTCAAGGGCCTGGGCACCCTTTTGCGGGAAGGCCTCATGCCCCCTGTGAGAGCCCTGTGTGCCCTTCCCCCGCCTGCAGTCCCCTCCCCAAGCCAGCGCCTACCCATGTTGCCGTTCTCCATGCCGCGGATGTCGGGGCGCAGGCGGCAGTCTGTAGGCGGCAGAGTCTTCTCCATGCCTGTCTTCAGCTCGTTGAGACTCACAGTGAAGCTGGTGAAATTATACATCTGCAGGAGCAGCACAGACAGGTCTGCATGTGGGGCCTTCTTTCCCCTCGCAGTCTGAACCACGCGCACTTGACACCCATTCTGTGCAGCCTGGGCCACCTGCTCGCTGGAAACGCTCCTGCTAAACCTTCGGCCCAGGGCCACTCCTTCTCTGCCCTGCTGCACCTGCCCGCGGGCTCCTGCTGTCCACCCCACAGGGCCACCAGGGCTCTCCCATCTTAGGGTGTGCAGTTCACGCTGCGCCCAGGACACCCAGTGTCCTTCTCCAGCCCCAACCATCTGCTTGACAGCTCTCAGGTGCCTAAGAGAGCCTCAACCTCAGCACCCACCAGGTGGGCCTGCTGCGACCCCGCACCCACAGCTGTCCCACTGCTGCATCCCCCGGCCCTGGCTCCTCTTGGCTCCCCTCCCATAGCCAGACACTCCACCAGCTTCCTCTCCCACTCGTGCCCCCATGGTGCCCAGACAAGTGGCCAGAGGAGCCAAAGGAAATTTCAATCCTGACCGGTCTCCCCTCTGCTCAAATGACTTCCACAGCACCCCAAGCCACTCAGAGCCCCTGCAGCCTGGCCCCCACTCCACTTCTCACTCCCCAGCCCCCAGTGACCCTCATGCACCAGCCGGCTCCTGGGGCTCTGCCCTGGCGGTCCCCTGCCCAGATGCGGCCCAGATGCCACTCGCTCACCCTGCTCTCCCCTCAGCCCCCAACCCCTCTTCATTCCTGAAGCCCAGGGCTCAGGTCTGCTCCCTGTCCTGGAGTGCTCCCTAGAACCTTCTAAGGCACTACATGGCTCTCTCAGGTGGGTGTCACCACCAGCCACTCTGCTGGGCTAGGGCACTGGGGGCCAAGTGTCCTCCCAGGCCTTGGGCCCAGCTGACAGGAGGAACTCAATGAATACCACTGACCCAAGGGATGGAGGGACAAGTGTTTCAAAAAGGACTTCCTGAAAAAACACAGGCTTCTTTTTCTAAAAAAAACCCGTTAACTTTTATTGTTTTACTAGTTCATGCTCTACTAAAATAATAATAGTGGCTGTGTGGAGGTGATGCGCTTGTATGTGGATATCTTATTCTGTTTCCTTCTTTACTTCACACATGCTCTGCTGTGGTTATAGGACATAATAACACAATAAGGGCCGGCCTGTGGCTCACTCGGGAGAGTGTGGTGCTGATAACACCAAGGCCACGGGTTCAGATCCTATATAGGGATGGCCGGCTCGCTCACTGGCTGAGCGTGGTGCTGACAACACCAAGTCAAGGGTTAAGATCCCCCTACCAGTCAAACACACAATAAAAACATATGAGTTGTATATATATAAAAATAACAACAGGTTGGGCCGGCCCGGTGGCGCTCTGGATAGTGAGCCGCTTGGGAAGCGCTGCGGCGCTCCCGCCCGAGGGTTCGGATCCCACATACAGACCGGTTCCCGCTCACTGGCTGAGCGAGGCGCGGGAGCAACACCGAGGGTTGCAATCCCGTTGCCGGTCCCCAGTCCGGTACGGGGGCAACACTGAGGGTTGCGATCCGTTGCCGGACACGGAAAAAAGACAAAAATAAATAAATAAATAACAACAGGTATTAAAATGAAACAATTACATAATATATTATATCTCCTATATAATAATATATTACATATTTAACATTTTACTTAATACATTATTGTTTGTAATATAAGAAGTGCAATTTATAATAAATATAATTATATATGTAATAAAAATTATACTTGCAATTTTCAAAAATAAATATCACAATGCATTTAAGCATCTAAATTGATGTCAGAAAAATCACCTCTCCACCAGGTTTGAAACCCTCATGATAAGACAGTGGGTGTAGACTCTCCTGGGGGAAGGACGAGGGCGCGGGGTGGGCAGCGTCGATGCTGTGGGCTGTGCACATAGCAGGGTGAGCCCTGCAGCATGACAGGGCCTGCGCTGGGGCTGGGATGTGGCCCTGAGAGAACAGAAGCCCTCAGAAGTTTTCAGCTGCAAAAGCACAAGCCAGCTACGTGGCGAGAGCTCCTCTGCCCTGCTCGGGAACAAGGGGCATGGATGCAGGGCCCAGCCCGGCCTCGCCGAGGGGCAGCGGGGTGTGGAGGGGCACCGACCTGGGCAGAGTTGGGGGGCCGGGTGTTGATCCTCCAGAGAAGTGTGCTGCCTGGAATGACCTGCACGGTCTCCTGAACCACGGGCACATCGTCAGCCACGTCACTGTCAGCTTTCCGGGAGCCATCATCCTGAATGAGAAACAGACACCTCCTGTTGTACCACAGCTCCAGAGGGGGCTGCTCCCACAGCACCTTTCCAGCCAAACCCTGGAGCTCAGTGAAACGTCCTTTCCCTTTTTTTTTTTTCTTAAAAGGGGAAAATCAAATATCCTCCCCCGTTTGTGACACTGTCTGTCCATCAGATGACAGAGGAATGGGCCCTGCTCATGGAGTGGCTCCCGTTCTCTGTGCAGGGCTGTGCCGGGGACAGGCAGCAAGTCTGCAGCAAGGTGCACTCTCCATGGGGAGCACTACATGTGCCACCCAGAGCATGAGCATCATTGCACGGGCCACATGAGCCAACTGCACGGCTCCTGAGACCAAGGCCTCCCCGCAGGCCGCAGTCCTGCCTCACACAGGAAGGGTGCATGCAGAGGGCGCAGGGCATCTCAGTGTTCTAGACCGAACCCAAGTGAACCCCACATCTAATAAAGAGATACAACTGCTACATTTGCTTCTCAACGTGGGTGGGTCTTGGGAAAAGAAAGTGGTTATTAGACAGAGCTTTTAAGAAAGAATACTTAAAATACGGGAATCAAAGCTCAAGAATTCTTCCCCTGACTTCAACAGGGCTGTATTAACATTGCCTGTAGGTTACTTGATCTAATTCTGGGTTAGTAGGTCTAAAAAATCATTAGAAAAGGTATCTAATAGCACACAAGATATCCCAATATAAAAACACTTAGATCCTGGAGGAGGTTGAATATTTTTGTTAAATAAACACTGCACATCACAGGCTTGATACACTCCAACTTGTTACCCTGAGAACATGAAAACCCTTTTGAACTATCACTGTTAGATGTGAGCTGGAGAATGACTAGTCTTAGGTAATCAGTATTCCAAAGCCCTAGGAGGAAAATCCTTGCCAGCTCTTTCTGAATGCTGAATATGTTATCTGGTATTCAGAACTGAAAAACACAAATGAAATTTGCTTGATATTTTAAATAGGTCTAGGCTAACTCAGGTAAAAGAAGAGAGGAGACTGGACTAAGAAGGACCCAAAACTTGAAGATTCCAGGAAAGAAATGGCCTTACATGAGGGTTCCTCAGATACTTCCAGCCTTGGGAGGACAGACACTAGGAAACCCTGAGCCCACAGGTTATAAGAACAGCCTCCATGCAATCGGAGCACAAACAAACCCCACCCCCAAGACCAGAATCCAGACAGACAAGCAGTTTCACTTTGCAGACAAGCTGCACATTCGTCTCTGCTGGCTGGGGCCACAAAGGCACCCAGCTTTCCTCCCCATCCCACCTCAGGGCAAGCTGAAGGCAGGGCAGCTCTGGAACTCCTTAAGAGACAGCAGCCAGCAGCCCTCATCCACCTGGCTCAGCCCCGCCCGGCGTCTGCCTGGGAGCACTTACCGGCCTAGCCTTTCTGGGGTGGTCGCCTCTCCGCTCTTGCTTCTTGAAGGATTCATATGAAACAGGATCGATGCCCCACAAACACTCCGTCCATTTGCCATAGATCATAAACAGCTTCTTTTTGCTGTGGTCAAACAGGATTTTTAAAAGCCAAGTTAAGAGCAATTACAAACCATTCATCTAAACACACAGCATGGAATAAATTTCACATCTGGCATGTCTTCTTATAAATTTTGGGGTATCTCTGGACATAAACACAAGATGAAAATTTGCATTTTAGGACCTCTAGTCATGCTATTTGAGAGTAACTATTCCTAACCCTAACATACCAAAGTATAAAAGAAAATGAAGGTGTAAAAGCCTGAGAGGGGGAACCACAGAGCTGCAGGAGACAAGAAGGGCAGAAAGAGCTCACACGGGTAAGTTCAAAGTTGCAGGTGCCTACCCACTGCTATTTTTTAAATGCATTACATCTCTGTGTGCTGCAGTCCTTTGGAACTTTTTTATAAATCACACAGGCAGCCCTGCCCACGCTCAGCCAATGTCATCTGTCTTGTCTCTGGCTGCCCACCTGCTTTCTCCCTTTAGTGACAACTCTGGAATCTCTGCAGATCGGCCACTGGGGCTCTCCGCCCGATTCCAAAAGGAGCCTCAGCCACTGTGATGATGTCACACTTTCTCCCCCCACCTCTTCCTGGGACGCACATGCAGGCCGCGGCCCCCTGGAAGCATTGCTCCGCAGGTTTGCGCCACTGTTCTCATGAACAGGACTGCTGTCCTCTAACATGCTAAGCCCCACCTCATGTTATTGGCCTCAGTCTAACAGCATTTTACAGGCGCTTTGGACAAGTGAGTTTCTGGTGGACAAAGCAGAGCACTCACTGTTTTAAACTAGAAACTAGTTTCTAATAGAAAATGTACAGACTGTAGGAGCTGGAAGGAATCTCAACATTATATGGCCCACATTTCTTAGTGAAAGAAAAACTGAGAAATAAGGTAATTAGCCCAAAGGGGGAAAAGCCCCCCAAAATTTGTTAAAGCACTGCTGCCCATTTCTCTGCTCCAAAAACTTGTGGAAGTCCCTGACGTACAGATTGGAATCAAGCAATCATGTGAAAATGCTGCTCATGCAGGCTGACATTTGAGTTTTGCCTGACGACATGCTAGTAGAGAGAAGGAAACACGTGCTCAATATTTTTTTTTTTTTTTGTCCTTTTTGACACCGGCCGCACCGCACTCAGCCAGTGAGTGCTGTGAGTGCACCAGTCATCCCTATATAGGATCCGAACCCGCAGCGGGAGCGCTGCTGCACTCCCAGCGCTGCACTCTCGCACCGGTCATCCCTATATAGGATCCGAACCCGCAGCGGGAGCGCTGCTGCACTCCCAGCGCTGCACTCTCCCAAGTGCGCCACGGGCTCAGCCCAGTGCTCAATATTTTAAAACCTTAGTTCTGTTTGTAAAACTGCACTGTTACCTCCCAGTGAAAATGTCTAATTTCGGGCCGGCCCGTGGCTCACTCGGTAGAGTGTGGTGCTGATAACACCAAGGCCACGGGTTCGGATCCCATATAGGGATGGCCGGTTTGCTCACTGGGTGAGCGTGGTGCTGACAACACCAAGTCAAGGGTTAAGATCTCCTTACCGGTCATCTTTTAGAAAAAAAAAAAAAGAAAATGTCTAATTTCTCATGTCGATTTTATCAAAGGACGACAAACCCAGATCTTTTACCCTGAGGGGAGGGGGTGGGCTCCAATCACACATCACCTAGAAATTACACTTATAGTTTATCCTTTATTTCCTTTTATGCTCAATAATAAAATGGTTTCTTTTTTTGCAGCTGGCCAGTAGGGGATCTGAACCCGTGACCTTGGTGTTCGTGACCTGCGCTCTAATGAATTGAGCTAACCAGCCAGCCCTAACATGTCTTTTCTAAACAAACAAACAAGAGTCATAACTTTTCCTCCCATGAACAGAGGTTCTGGTGTGACTGTTCTCTGCACAGCACACTGAACCGTGTGAGCGTCCCGTGACCCCGTCAGCACGCAGACCTACTTTTTGTCTTGAATGTGCCCTTCCACCTTGTGAAGTTCTTTTCCAAACAGCCCACATGGTTTAAAGTTAAGTACACACTTATCTCCAGTTCTGCAGGAAAAACAAACACAGGCTTTTACTGTAAGACATGAAACACCCAGAACAGGCAAATCTACAGAGGGACAAAGCTAGTTAGAGGCTACTCGGGGCTAGGGGTGACCATGGGATGACCGCAAATAGGCACAACAGGCCTTTCTGGGGTGATGAAAATGTTCTAAAACTTGTGTGATAATCGCACAATTTGATAAGTTTACTAGAAATCATTTAAACGTCCACTTAAAATAGGTTAATTTTAGGACACATAAGTGATATCTCATTAACACTGTTAAAAACAAAGCAGTTGGCCATGACCTTCCAGGAGTAGGGCTTTATGCCTGGACAATGGGCAGTGCTCCAGGAGGGGCTGTGCACTGTCACCTGGTGATGACACAACTCTTCGGCGTAGTTTGAAATTTCAAAATAAATTAACTATTGTTATTAAAAACAAAAATCAACACAGAGCACTCATGATGACTTTAGCACTGTCCAGAATCACATCCACCAGCCCCTGCCTAGGGTGCTTCGCTTCAGGGACAGGCAGGAGAAGGGGCAGAAGCTGGGGGGGGGGGGGAGGGGGGGGGGGGGGGAAGCCCCACCCCCAGCCTGGGGCCCATCGCCATGGTCTTGTATTGCCCACAGCAGGGTGCTGTCAC